GGTCGGGGCCTCTCCCGGCAGACCCGCTGCCGCTAACGCCGCCCGGGAGCGCAGTCGGGTTCAGACCCTGCGCCATGCCTTCCTCGAGCTGCAGAAGACTCTGCCCTCTGTGCCGCCCGACACCAAGCTCTCCAAGCTGGATGTGCTCCTCCTGGCCACCACCTACATCGCACACCTCACCCGCAGCCTTCAGGATGAGGAAGAGTCACCGGGAGAGGGCTTGGGTACCCTCCGAGGGGATGGATACCTCCATCCTGTCAAGGTAGGAGAGATCCCTTCTGTGAAAGTGCTTTCCTGATGTGTTCATTTCGTGTAGTTGGTGTATGCTCTTCCCTTCATCCAAAAAACACATCAGGGCGGTGTGGAGGGAACAAGAAGGGGAACTGCTCTTCGGGAGGGGGGCTGCAGCTGGGAACTGTGTTCACATGCATTGCTCACTGAGTGATGGGACTCCAATGCCACAGGGTGTTTTTTTTGGCTCTGGTCTCGGGGAGCAAGTTAAGAGCACTGGGGTTAGCTTTTGCTTGTTTTTAAACAGCCTGATGAGTTCAGAATGATTTAATTAAGATTAATCTGTGAAGTAATCTTTAATTCCTAGAAAGTGGCTGATTTAATTCAGAGTTTCTTGTTCATGGCACCGGTCACTGTAAAAAGCACAACATAAATGTATGCTGCTGAGGCCAGCTGATTGATCAGCAGCTCCTTCAGGAAGCAAAACCTTTACAGCAATTAGAAGATGGTTCTAATTTAAGAAAAAAAACCACTGTGATGTATCTTAAAGTAAGTTTCAAGCAGCTTCTGTTAGTCCCTTGGTCAGAGTGAAAGGACACAGGTCTCTTACAGTGCTTTTTATCAGCTGCCAACTATTACTGGCAGAAAAACACTTGTGAGTAGTTATTACAGCAGTTAAATGATCCAGATACACATTCCCCAGGCTATTCGAGTATAGCAACACTGAATTCATTTAAGCAGTTATTGTATTTTATAATCTTACTGATTTAGCTGTACTTAGTTCTGAGATTCTATCAGTCTAACCAAGCTTTCCAATATTCCTGTGGTAATTTAACAGTTTTAGTTGGCACTAGAACAAAATCACACAGACAAATCATGGCATGTGCTTAAAAAAAAAAAAGCCAAGTGCAGGGTATGGGACAACCAGGACAGATGAGGACTTCAACATCTGTGTATCGAGCACGGTAAATATAGACAGTGAGGAAAGTAAGATATCCAAGTACAGGGGTGTGACTGAACAAAAGATGCAGTTAATGGCTTTAAACTCAGATGTCTCACTGGTGACAAATTCATGACATCAGACTTGAGATACAAATATTGAATGAGGTTGTACAGTCTTTCCAAGTGAGAAAATGCTGCTTCCTGTCTTTAAATAGAAAAACTGAAATTAAATTGCAGTTTTAAGCCTCTCTAGTTTTTAGAGCCATCTTTTTTTTTTTTTTTTTTTTTTTTTTTTTTTTTTTCTTTAACCCAGGAAAGGTGTCAGGCTGCTCCCCAGTGTCCAAAATAAATCGTATTCTTTTGGAACAAGTGTCTTTTTCTGCTAGTGGTAATTGACAGTTGGTAAGAAGTACATCAGAGACCTGTGTATCGGGTACTTTTGCATCTGATGTGTATGACAAGTTGTCTTTTCAAACATCCACCTCTCTGATAATGGACTCGGCTCATCGAAGTGGAGCTTAATGCTTCCTCCTGAGAGATGGGTGCCTGGCTGCTGTCCGCAGTAAGGAACTTCCTCAGGTAAAGAAACTTGAGCTGCAAGTATTTAACACAAATGTACCTGATGACTCCAACAATCACTGAACAGAAAGATGGGATGTCTCAGTGTTCATTGCCAGAGCTGACAAAAACAAGAAGCTGTCAGTGCTGCAGCAATTAGATTAAAGTCCCTTTAAAAGACAGTTTTTTGCAGCCCCTGTATTGTTGGGGCTGCCAGCATGGCAGGGATGTGCACAGGGCTGCAGTCTCTGCTGGTGTTGGTGTATCTGTGTAGTACCTCTGGCACGGTAAAGAGGAATGCCTTGCTTTATTTGACCAATGGGGCATTGACTGTACATGTGGTGGGAGGAGGATGGACCAGCATGGCCTGCTCCTGCCTGCAGGGTTGCAGTGGGGTTTGGGAGCAGAGCCTTGTGGTTAAACACCAAATTTTCCCTTACCTAGCTTCTAATGACATTTTCTAACAAACAACAAAATGGGAGTTTCCAGGTGATAGCAAGTTCCCTATTTCCTCATTCCATGATGCATTAACTGTTACAGCTTTGCAGAGAGCTGCACTCAGAGTGCAGAGATCTCGGGTGTGTCAGCACTGTGCTTGTGTCTCCTCTCTTGCAGAAGTGGCCGATGCGTTCTCCCTTACCTAGCTTCTAATGACATTTTCTAACAAACAACAAAATGGGAGTTTCCAGGTGATAGCAAGTTCCCTATTTCCTCATTCCATGATGCATTAACTGTTACAGCTTTGCAGAGAGCTGCACTCAGAGTGCAGAGATCTCGGGTGTGTCAGCACTGTGCTTGTGTCTCCTCTCTTGCAGAAGTGGCCGATGCGTTCCAGGCTATATATTGGAGCCACAGGGCAGTTTCTGACTCACTCAGCACAAGGAGATGGTGCAAACCAAGGAGAATCATCAACACCACCACAAATCTAACCTCCCTTCTGGCTTTTAAAAATAATTTATTACACCTTATATATTTAAGTTAAAAATAGTATCTATAAACAAGCTGCAATTCCTGAAATACTGTTTATAGAGAAGGAATTGATTCTTAAATGTAATTAATACCTCATTAAGTTGATGTGATGTGTGGTTGGTTTCTATCACAGAGGGGTCTGAATGGAGGGATTAGGGAAGGTGACTGCAGCTGGTGCCAGCAGAAGTGGTTGCTCGTGGAGTGGGACAGTGCACCCCTTGGGGACGAGTGGTGGAGGGGTGTGCTGCAGAGAAGGCAGGGTGCAGTACGGGCTGAGAGCAGAGCAGTGCGGGCTCGGTGGGGAAACAAAGGGCAAACCTCAAAATAGCAATCAGAATCCCACCTGCACTTTCTTTACTGCATAAAGCCAATGCTGGGAATCCCACTGACCATGGCTGTCAGGCCAGGGCTTCATCCTTTGGGGAATCTTAAATGTACAGAGCTATTTCCCAGAAGGGTGGATTCACGTTTACCTCCAGTATAAATGTGCTGAGGTCTGTCCTGCAGCACCATGTCTGACAGCCACGAGCTGCTCTGCACATCAGGTATCACTTCTGTCAACCCATATGATTGTGGTGCATGTTTAAAATGCGTTTAGGTGTTTTTCCCTGCACAATCACTTGTCTGTTCAAGGCACTGAGGTGCATTTCTCTTGTCTTTTAGTGGGCTCATGCATTGAAACAAATAAGCTTCACGTTGAAGTCTGAGGAGTTGGCTTGTTCGCAGCACATTTTTCACTTAAACATCATCTGTATTTAGGCAGGAAAAGTTGAAACTAAGTGCTCCAGTGCCATCTGATGTGTCTGTTCTGTAAAACACTGTACCACTTGTTATTGCCGAGGTAAACCTTTTATTAAACATTATTCAGTGAACATTATGTACTTACTGAGTTGCAAAATGTGCCTGTTTTTCATTGTACAGGACCAGTAGTTTCTAACAGTAATATTCTGCATTTAGAGTAACTTCTTTCTGAAGACTTCATGGTTTAAGTTTTAAAATTACATTTAGGAAAAAGGAAACCAAAAATTCTATTAAGAACAACCTTTATATATATAGTGTGTGTATATATATATATATATATAATCTATTGCGCTCAGACTTGAGTCTAACCTGTGATGTCTTCCAGAGGTGCTGAGCTGAGCGCCCAGGTTCACAGAACCCCAGGCTTCTGGTAAAAGAGAGAATCATTAGAAAGAGCTGGACAAACTATCTAGGATGGCAGTAGGGTGAAAGTGTGAGCTGCCCACCACCCCTGCAGCATTCTGAGCTTTTAGCAAGATTATTCTTTTGAATAGTAAACATACTTTAAATATTTGAAATACATTTAATATGTATTTTAGGCATCTACTTCTTATTTACAACTGTAAGTGGTTTATTAAGATATGATGGTTACACGCCAGGGCACTGCTCAACACGAGCTATTCCACTGTGGGGAAAAAATACATACAAAAGAGTAGTATTGCATACAGAAATAGCTGCTCAGAGAAGAGCCTGAGTTCTAAAAGTGTTTGTGCTTTCCCTAGTAGTAAAAAGTGGGTTAGCACTGGCTCTTATCATGGGGATGGTTATTTGTGGGGGGGGTTCTTACTGAGGAGATGTGAAGGAGTTGTAAAGTGAAGTAAGAGGAGAGAGGGACAGAGCAGTGAAGGTTCCCAGGAGGACTCAGCTGTACCAGATGAGGGTGTGAGACACCTCACACTTCTGACTGATAAAACCCCAAGTGGTGACACAGCAGCATTGAGAATTCAGGCTAGTTTTGTGTGTAACTGAGACCTAAATGGGTGGCACCTGGTCAGGGGCGAAAGGGCAAGTGAAACCTCAGCCAGAAGTCAGCATCAAACCTTGAACTGCTGCTGTGGAGCACAATGGTATGACCCAAGCATGCAGAACAGCACAAGTAAAACACAAACTGCAGTGATGGTCTGCATCAGCTGCGTGCTCCTACCTAGCACAGAGGTGCTGGTTACTTCACAGGCTCTTAAATAACATACCTGGAAGGGACAGAATTCCGGAAAGTTAAAAAGAAAAAAAAATGAGGGGGGGGGAAAGATACCCCCCTCCTGTTTTTAAAGGCCTCTTTCCTTAAATGTAAATGAAAGATTCAGACTGTTTATCCATGAAGTAAGCATGAAAAATAGATAGGGATAAAGATTAAAATCATGAATGGAGGGTATGGGGAAGACATCTCTACTTAAACTCTGACTATGGTAACAGTGCAGTAGTATTCACAACGCTCAGAAGCCGGCCAGAGGAGCTGAGCAGCAAACACCACGGCTACTGCGCACCCATGGCTGCAGGAGTTGTGGCTACAGAGGTGACAGCACAAACACCTCAGCAGTGTGGTAGAGATGCATTTAAGGCCAGTGAGAATCTGTAGTTACAAGATCAGTTCTTTACTTGAGAAGAACTCCCCATCATTATGAGCTGGGATTTTTTATTCCAAGACATTACTCGGCATCAGATGCAAATTGTTATGCCTTTTCTTCCCCCACCACCAAGACACCAGCTTAGGAAACCCACTTCCTTCCACCACTGCAAGAGCTCATCTTCCAGAACTCTACACCAGGATCAAAACAGACCCTCTGAACCTGTTTGTTTCAAACCTGATGTCTGATCTAATGCTATGTTTCTTAGGAACAGTTCATACCCTTGTATACTGAAACGTAACAGTTTGGCATTGGCACTGGAAATAAGTGCTTAGGAATAAAACTCTATAATGCTCACACATTGCTATCATAAGGAACCCTTTTTTGTGGAGTCACATATTAGCAAACCTCGGTTACTGAAATCCCAGCTGAAGGAAGCGCCATTCCTTCAGCGGGATGGGACCGGGAAACCTCAATGGCCACATCCAGTTAAGGTGCCTGTGCAAAGCCTGCCGCACACCAATCCCTTTTCCTCACGCACCTACTGCGGGTGTAACTGCAGTACCGTGCCCTGCAGCCGCGCACCCCTTTCCCGTAGCACCCCCCCTGCCAATCACTCCTCTCTCCCTGAGAGACCCGTAGGACAAAGCATTCTTTGTGCTTGTGTAAACCAAGGAACGACAAGACCAGAAAGACGAATGTTCCATGGCGCTGACTGTTCAGCGAGAACGGAAGCGTTTTAAACGCTGGGTTGCGTGTGAGACACGCCAAAAAGAAGGCGAAGGTGCTTCCCTTCCCGGCAGTCCTGTCTGTAACCCACCTGGAACAACCCACCTCGGTTCTCTCAGCAAAACCGCGACCCCAGGAGCCATCCCG